AACAGGAAGTAAACTGTCACACTGGGCATATGGTTTGAGCATATGAGATCCCAAAGCCCGCCTCCAGAGTGACACACTTCCTCCAAGGCCACACCCACTCCAACAAGTTCATACCTCCTAATGGAGCCACTTCTTATGAACCAAGCATCCAAACACATGAATCTATGGAAAGGGGCATTTCTTTCCAAATCATCACATATATTTTAAACGTTTAAAAAAGTCAGTGAGGAAATAAAAACCTTTAAGATAAACATAAGGTAAAGCAATTCATGTCCACTCATCCAGCATTACAGGAGATACTTAAAGAATCTTACTACAACACAGAGAGAAGGAAAACAGTCACAAACATAAGCTCTCAAGAAAGAATAAATAGTAAGAGTAGATGCTGCTACAGAAATTGACTAAGGACTTATCTGGTGAGGGGGGTTTTCTTACAGTAGGAAGACATAGACTTGAATAATGATGTCTCTGTAGGTGCGAAGGGAAGCTGTTCACAGGTCTCATCATCCCAGGTCCACAGACAGAGCATAGCAGCTGTGGATTTGGATGTGCATGCAGAGGAGCATAACTGGAAGACAGGAGTGTGAGGGGAAGCATGTTTGTGATGATGATCATGCAAAGATGTGATAAGAGACATCTTATCAGGGGAGGGGTCCTTAAAAACCACACCGTAGCCAGCTTTGGCAGTAAGCGTCCTTAATCTCAGCACTTGGAAGGCAGAGGCAGGTAACCTGTGAGTTCAAGGAAAGAGCCAGAAAGAAAGAAGGGGGAGGAACGGATGGAGAAAAAATGAGGGAGGGAGGAAGGGGGAAGGAAGAAAGAGAGAGAGAAAGAAAGAGAGGGGGGAGAGAGGAGAGACCTTTTGATAGGGTAGCAGTACGAGATGGATTAATGGATGCTCAGTTCAGAAATCACAAGATCCTTTTTGCCTCATTGAGGACTGTCTTGAAGAGATCAGTCTACTAGAGAGTTCTAACATCTAATCAGCCTAAAAACACTGGAAGGAAGTGACTGGAACTGGGAAAGCGGTGAAGCAACAGTTGCATGGTTTAATCAGCAGAAGACATAAACCAGGAGAGAAGAGAAATGATCCCGTTATTCAAATGTCCAAACTCAGTCTCTTCTGAAATTCAAGGCCAACTCTTAGCTGTGAACCCCTGTAAAATTTTTTAAAAGTTCTATTATTTCCAAGATAACACAGCACAGGACAAATATTTCCATTCTAAAAGCAAGGAGTAAGAGAATAGCAAGAAAGAACGAACTAACGGCTATTCTTGGTTGTCAACTTGATTACATCTGGAATGAACTACAATCCAGAAATGAGGGGGCACACCTGTGAGATTATTTTTTTTTTTGCTTGAAGTGTGTGGATCTACTTCTAGTTGACACCTTTGAAGTAGGAAGACACACACCTTTGACCCAGATCTTGATGTGGGGAGACATTGATTGGGACCATGCCTTCTGCTGGAAGCCTATGTAAGTACCTGAAAGAAGGAAGGGTTCACGCTTTGCCCTTGCCTTGCCTGGACATCCATTCCTTCATTGGTATTAGAGCCTGTTTCTTTGGGATACTGAAGACCAGCTGAGACATTCAGCCTTGTAGACTGAGCAGCTACTGGACCTTCAATTCACAGCCAGCCACTTGGATTAGCTGGACCGCAGCAGAACAAAACTGGGACTAGGGGGCTAGATATAACAAGGCACCCCACTGACCTTCCTCTTACTGGGTTTTACCTCCTCAAGTTTTCCACCACCTCTCAAATAGCATCACTAGCTGGGGACAAGGAGAACACAGGCATCTCTGGAGGGTGTTCCATATTCAAACCCTAACACAGCTATATGACCTCCTATGGGTTCCCCTTTGCGTCTCTTCAAGTCTGCAGTCCTTGTGTTTACCAACTTCCTCAGCACACTGCCTCCATCTAGTGACACTTACTGTGTGCAGACGATAGACAAGCACACTGAGACTGAGGACAGACACTCGAGCAGTGTCCAGAAAGTAAGTGGTCATTGCAGTGGAGTATGGGGAATAGGCAGCACATGCCCTCAGGTTTCCCAAAGCAAGGGTAAGAGGGGGGTGTTTTCTTAAACACCTTCACTTCTATGAGAGTGCCGGAAAAGGGAGACAGCCTGGTAGAATTTAATGCCAGCTCCATAATTTACAAGCCAGAAGACTTGAGGAGATATTCAAGTTATTTTCAGGATTATAAATGAAATAACTGAAGTGTCATGTCTACTTTCTCACTGAGTCTTCTTGGTGCCTTACATGTTCTAGACATGAGTTCTGTAAAGTATATAGCTGTGAAGGTTTCTCTGTTCTACAAGTTGCCTCTTCACCTAATTAGCAATGTCCTTTGCACTAAAGAAACTTTTAATTTCATCAAGTTCCATTTATTGGTTGCTTACTTCCTGAATGACTAGAGTCCCATTCAGAAACTCCTAGATTACCTGAGCCTATATCTTGAAGTACATTCCCCACTCTTCTAGGTTTGGCTCCAAGATTGAGATCTTTAATCCATTGTTTTGCTTGTTTTGCTAACTGAACAGAGTTTCAAACAGCCCTCCAAATTTGTAGTTTTCTCCTTACAGATTAACGCAGCTCCCAGACCTCATCAGAGACAGTTCTTGGCTCAGTGGATGGTGTCAAAGCAGGAACTCTAGTCAAATGCAGAGGGTAAGAGCCAGTGAAGTGTTCACCCACAAATGGAACGTCTTACACCCCTTCTCCAAAGCTCAGGGGCCAATGCCAGAGATGGCATCGAGACTGTAAGAGGCAGGCGTCAGGGAAGACTAGGGGAACTCTGTCCTCTGGACAACACCCTGTACAGGATCAAGTCAGCTAATTTTCTAGCATGGAGTGGAAAGGGGCTCATGAGCCACCACTCCTAACTGGGGAACTAGAACAGTTGCTGGCTTCTGGGGGAAGGAAAGCACTTTAAGGATGTAGTTCCTAGTAGTTGACCACATTCCAATGGATTGTTCCACACCTGTGAGTACATGGGCATCACAAATTAGAATCCATGTGTTATTTAAAACAAAGTCATGTACTTGGAGAGAGGGGCAAAAGTTGGGGTGGATCTATGAGGGGTTAGGGGTGAACATGAAGTGCTAGAAAAAAATTACTATTTTTTAAATGAAGTTAAATAAAACAGCCATCCTTACCTGCCATTCCTGATCTCTTACAGCCAACTTGAAGTCTATCGCCATTACTTCCCCATCTGTCTCCTTAACTCAGGCCTCTCATCTGACCAAACTTCAGCCATCACTTGGCCCCCTGCTCTATCAGTTCCAGCTCAAGCTGTGTGCACTCTGGTTTTCTTGGGTGGGAAAGTCTTTCCATACTTTTGCTTTGTCCCTGGCATCATTATCAGTTTAAATCTTTTTAAAGGATGAGTTCTCAGTGTCACTCAGGCTGGACTCAGTCAGTCTTAGACTCCTAAGTACTGCCACACCACCACCAAGTCTTGATTTCACTTGGAAATCCAAAGATCTCAACACTACCATCAGACAATGGCCTCAATTCAGACACCACCCTAGAGGCTTGCCTAATATGGCTATAGCTCTCTTTAAATCTATGCAAAAATGGACACATCAAATCTCAAAGATTAGTTCCAGGACTCAGAAGAGCAGCAGGTGGGCTAAAATACAGCTTGACGGTGAGGCATTGACCAGCCCATGGAAAGTTCTGGGTTCAAAGCCCAGCAACACAGAGTTAAGCATCCTGAAACAAAAAGCAAGTTTTAAGTCAGCCGTACAGCTGAAGAAATGCACAGTTCATTGCTAAGCATAATTCCCTAGGCCACGGCAACTCCCAAAGCAGAGCAAACATGAGTTCCTTGCTCATGCTGGTTATTTTACAAACACCTTGAGCACTTCTGGTGCTTTTGATCTCAAAAGCTTACTATTTTTAGGGAAGTGAGACTTCAGAATGTCTTTAACATATATTAATTAGAAGCCAGATTTTAATTACACATGCAATGCACCTCCATGAAGTGAACATGTGACTGGGTGGTTATTATTTCTTGCTTGGAACTTTGGTCCTAGCCTTTATGTGCCCCACAGAATAGCTCAGCTTCCCTCAGCATCAAAGGATGAAGCAAGCAGTGAAAAGTTCCAATTTACAAAAGCCTTGACTGCTCAGTTCTGTGGATGGTACCAAGGCTGAGGATTTTTTGGTGATACTGGGGACTGAATTTAGTGGCTTTCACAAGCTAAGTCTCTGTAGTAGTTATTTTTACATTTTGTTTTTAACATTGGGCACAAAACATGAAATTGTTACTATATTTTCTGAAGTTGTAAACATGAAAAAAGGGACAGGCAAGTTGGTATAAGTCTGTGACAGTGGCATTGGAAACTGAGTAAGGAAAATCATTCATGTATCACCAACCTGGGATACATAAAAGATGGGGGGGGCGGGTTGAGAGAAACGGCTTTGGGTTAAATGACATAGACCTGGACTGCAACAATACCACTGCATCATACAACTTGTGGCTGGATTTCAAGCTTGAATAATATAGCTGAAGTCAATGTAGTTTTAACTTGTTAGGTTAACCATAAAGATCATGAATATATATCTCCCTAGAATTGTTGATAGAAGACTGAAAACAGCATATCTAAGATAGGGGAAACTGAGTACGATGACATATGTCCGTTATTCCTGTCCTTGGCTGGCAGAGACAGAAGGGACCATCCACAAAATCAAAGGCCACCTTAAACTACAGTGTGTTCCATACCAGCCAGAGGCACCTGGTAAAATTTTGTCTCATAAAAATAAAGCTTACCTGGGCACAGTGGCTTATATCCCTGTAACTCCAGTGACATGTGGGAGGTTGAGGCAAGAGAATGGCTACTCCAAGAAAAGCCTGGCCCACACAGAGTTATAAGCCATCTGGGAAGCAGAAAAGACCCTGACTCGGAGACCAGAAACAAAGAAGGAAAAGTACTTACCCTGCGCCAGGAGCTCCATCATAGGCAAAGGAAATGATTAGTACAAGCAAGGCTACGTCACAGCAAGATTTATTAATACATCCAAAAGAAAGAAAGAAAAATCATTTTGTCACACTATATACAGATAATACATACAGTGTTTTATACACATATTACATCAGTTTTTACACAAGAAAAATATACATAAAAATGTAAACTTTTGTATACAAAAACCCTTAAACAAATTAAACAAGGACCAGATAACAAAAGGAGACCAATCCATTATTATTTCATCAAATTTTTAAAACAGTAATACAGTACATTCATTGAGATATATATATGGAAAATGTGAACCATCTCTTCCTGTTTAAAGGGAAATCACAAACCAAAACCTCTCGTCTCCCCAAATGTGTCCTCCCCAGCAGAACCTCAGCCAGCGCCACAGATAGGCCTTTTCCCAATCACCAGCCTCCTCTTCCACACTGTGCAGACACTAGCTGCTCCCAGTGTGCGTGCCGTGACACGGACATGAGAAGACGCTTGGTTTGTAAGTCCCCTTTAAGCAGCTGCCCTCCTGTCTATGCTCTGAATGTATGGCATATGAAGCAGACTGTGTGCCAAGGTGATCGAGAGCACCGAAAAAGAAGAGTTCTCGGTACGGCTAGTCCTTGCTACCGTGCAGTTCCATTGTTAAAAGACATTTTAAAACTGTCCAGCCTGCCTGTCCTTTGCTGGTTTCCAATGGCTACCTCACCTTTGATTTCCCACTGCAACTTGGTTTTAATTTACACTTGGGCACTCTGGTTAGTACCATACATCTGCCAAGAGGCTTTGTGTTAAAGGCTGATTCTGATATCAGTTCCAGTGAGCTACTCTGTGCAATCTGCTTCCTTAGGAGTACACTTACTCCACTCCCCAGCGAACATAGCATTTAGGATTACCTATCCATCTACCTTTCTCTTCCCCTATTATCAAGGTTTAATCTGCTGCCAGCTCATCACAAACAAAATCAGTATTTAACAGTTTGTCTTAATGTTCTTGCATTCAATACAGAAAACTGAGAGACAAATGGGAAAAAAAAAATACCTTGCGGGGAAAAGCAGTAAGAATTAAATATATGCCGAGTACATGCATATACAAAGAGTTAAGAGATCTTTTAAAAAAATTAAGTAATATCTTTAAAGAAATCAAACTTTGCAAAATAAACTACGCTAAGGACAGCATCCTGAGAAGCATCTTCTTTCCAAGGTGAATTGTGAACAAGGCAAAATGACTAGATGATCTATTTCCTTGCAGCAAGAGAGGGGTCAGCTTCCCCCAGCAACATGATGAAAATGATCATTATTCATTAATGAAAGGAAGAGGCAGATTGGTGAATGAAGTTGATCAAGGAGATGGTGGATAACACACACAAATAGCAATGCTAGGATGGCTCTAAAACTGAAATAAACAAGCAGGGTTGTGGTGTTGCCACTGCTGCAGAGAAGGGAGATGCACAGAACACCACGGTGGATCTCGTCTCATTTGCAGATGCTGTTTTCAAAACGACAGTCTCCCTTTCAGTTACAGACACAACAATACAATGGATAGGAAGCTAAATAAATAGTGTATGGCTGTCTTTAGATGAGACCTTTAAATGTTCTTTAAATAACTTTTGATAATGTATTTTAAAACATACATACAACCACCATTGCAGTGGCAATATTCCAGTAGGGCAGCATTTTGCTAAATGTAAAAGATTGCCATTTAGAACTCATACATATACATGTGTATGTACAGTTATACCAACACTATTTATATACATATATATCTAGAGAGCAACATTTCATTGCCTTTGAATATTTCTATGTTCACTCCCACAATATATCTTGGAGATATACTGTGTGAGTATATACCAAAGTATGTGTACACATGTGCCAACATGTATGTATATACACTTTGATCTGTGTGTGCATAAGAGCTTTAAAGGCACGCTATATAGGGTGAAAGTTTTCTAGAGAGCTGTGGCAGAGTTAGAACTGAATGACACAACTGTGAGCAAAGTCAAAAGGAAATTCAGCAGAATTCAAGACACAAGAACTCATTAGAGTATTTCATCATGAGAAGCATGAGTCAGTTGTAGACTTAAGAGGCTTCCATGTGACTTTGTATACTTTGTTAAAATTCAAAGGATAAATTTATATTTAAAGCACAAAGTTAATCAAACTATTTAAATGATCATAGGTGTGGAAATATACCCAGCACTAATGTCAATCATAAAATCATAATTGTAGTTTTTTTTTCACTTTTAAGTAAAAACACTCCAAAGTTGCCTAGGAAATTTCAAAATTAACTGATTAATGTTGGCTTTTTATTTTTCATGACTACCCAATTCTCAAAGAAAATATTACTGAAAGCTGTATACTATGGGGGCCCGTCAGTTATAGAGGAATGTAAAAGCAACAGCCACGGCAAAAGAACTAAGTCAGAAAGGGGAAGGGAGGGATGATGTGGCTCAGCACAGGCCCTGTCCAGGCCACTCTCAGAGGTCCATCTCCAGCAGCCGACAACAGACAGCTCAGCGCGGTGGGAGTGGTCAGTACAGAGAGACCAGCTAGCAGTCTGCGGGCAGTGCAACTGGTGTGGCCAATGTCATCTGTCACCCGTGACTAAGCTATTTCAGTGTGGCTGATGATGCACTCTAGACTGTCCTGACTCCCATAGGCTTGCAGAGTAATCCAGAATTCCCCACAGATGCATAATCTTGCTTAGCAAAGGCTGTAAATCTATTACACACACACATTGTTAGGGAAATATATGTATATAGCTTTATCTATACACACACATATACATACGTGTATATATAGATTTATACAAATGTATAAATAAACATAATACTTTTCAATATTCCCATTGACAAGGCAAGTTCACATTCAGCAAAGTGCCACCACATCCCATATACACATCTCTGTACAGATATACACAAAGGGTCTGTTTTCACCCTTCAAGAAGGGGAAATTGATTCTAGTCAATTCCATTAACCAGCAACTGAAGGGAGAAATGGCATCAGTACAAACTTCCTCCTTTCATTTGCATGCATATATACAAGAAATATGCAGATTTCTCAACATCCAAAAGTAAGAGTGAATGGAACAGGGAGATGTTACAAAAATACCATTGTAAAAAACATAGAAAGCTTTCCCAGGTTGTGACTAAGATGAATTAAGTGAGGCCTCAAAGATAACTACCAATTCAAACATGTACTCAGGAGTTGCTGTCCTGATATATTCCCTAAGTATATGAGTTTTCTTTCTATCAGAATAAACGTGGTGGAGCACTGTCTCAGACCATCAGACGTTCCACTCAAGGGGGGCACAGCAAACGACAAAGCTCAAAGTACAGGAATGTGTCTTTCTGTTTAGCTCCACGTCAATCAGGTAGGCATCAAAGGTAGTATGGTTTTTCCTACAGCCAAACGATTAGGGCTGTGGTGCTCTGTTCCATAACCAATGATAGGATTCAGTTTTAAAAAATGTTTTGGAAATAATGAAAATCACACCAGCTTTGAAATATGCACAGTGAAATGAGCCCAACAACTCCTTAAACAAAGCTTCAAAAGCTTCTTTATCAAGGCCTAAGTTTTCTGAACTTGATCATGGAAACATCATAATACTTTATTACTTGGAATATAAAGAACATTTATTAGACATAAAAGTGTTTCAACAAATCTGTGGTCCCATTATCTCAATATAAACAAGCTGTTATCTAGGTCTATCTATGCTCGTAAGCACGAGGCTGGCCGTAGAGGCTGCTTCTCCTCATGTCACTTTAAAGATGCCCTGCACATGATATCAGAGCTAGCCTTTGAACACAACATAGCAAAGAATACGGCACGTTGATATGAGAGAATCAATGGGAAAGGAGCTGTAATACCCTCAGCTAGATAAAACACATTTCTATAATACATTCGGTTACCTTTCTAGTTTTATACAAGCACACATTCATATCTCACACAGTGCCCCCGATGTATATTTTTGCATGTGTGTAAAAACACAGACACATATACACACACACAAGTAATTTATTTCTATTTTTAAGTCACAGTGGGAATTCTTTAGTGAGGAGGGGAAAACGTTCCTGAATGAGACACTGAGAACATCTAGATTTATTAATTTTACTTCTCAATTTACAGAATAAACTGTAAATTAAAGAATAAATCCATAGGAAATAACAGAGGTCTTAAAAACTTAGTTTACAAATTCCAGCTACAGTAGTGGGAGTTTTACTGGATCTATTTGCTTCTATTTACCCTGTAACTAAGCGTCTAGCCATCGTTAAGTGTAAACCACAGATCATGTACTACAGAACATGATTCTCAACAGCTCTAGGAAGGATGATATGTGGTCTAAGGGTGTTCTACATTTTGAGGCCCCACGTTATTCTTTTCTTTATATATCTGCAAGGTAGCAAAGGACAGCTGTACACCTTGACACGGCCGAGATCCAGTGTAAAAAGGTGCATCACTAGTTTGTTTTGTTAAAGATAAAAATAAAAATAAAAAGAAGCTCATATATAATTTTTAAGCTATTAAAACACATAGGCAACATAATTCATTACACTCAATACAGCTTTAGTATAAAACTTATAATTTATGAGGTGATGTTAATAGCATAAATTAATATACCTTTTCTCTTAAAATCTACAATAAGTATTCTGAAAGCTTATGGGGAAGTTTTTAAATAAAAGTTTTAAAGCTGTGCATGATGGGAAAGGATTCTGTCCGCTGAAGCTGAGATGAGAGCCTGAAGTAGAAAGGAAATCGTCCTCGGTGAGCGACCATGGGCTGTGAAACCAAAGCTTTCTCTTTCTTGAGCTCCCATCAATGATGAGTCACCTTTAGTTTCTTTTAAAACTATTTTCTTATTTTAAAAACTGCCCTAATTTCCGCAAGGAATCCCTGAGACATACTCAACACTATACAGTGAGAAGAGCTATCACTGTTGAGAACTGATCCAACCCTTTGGAAGAGAGGTACACGCTGTCAGCAGGTGTCACACTCTCTATCGCGTTAGCACTAACCCCACTGGAGACGCCTGAACCTTAATGACACAGGCTGGAGTCATTTGGGGGCAAATCAGTCTATTCCCCAAGGAAAAGCAATGGTGTGGCCTTGAGCTATTCTGTTGCCTTCCACCCTGTGTGTTGAAATGTTTTCCATGGGGAACTTGGGGTGCATTTAGAGCTTAGGTCAGTGGTCCCCAGCTTAAAAAGCAAACAAACAAACAAACAAACACATAGAACAACAACAAAAACCAACGAAAAAAGATTCTACCACTCTTGGGCCAAGGTGAGTGCGGCTCATGTGTGTGCATGTGCACACTGCAGCACCGGGGATGAGCGTGCAAAACAGGCAGAGGGAGGAAGGAAAGAAAACATGCTGTCCCACTGGCCTCCAGGATCGACCAGCTTTTATCCTAGAAGACTGCTCTGCACCCTAACTTAGATCAATCAAAGACCATCTTGGATCTATACTTCAAGCCATTCAAAAATTACTGATACTCTGGAATATGGGTCAATAAAGTCATAACACTTCTCTCTGAAATGCCACATCTCGTTTTACTTGTTCCTTGTACACTTGTACAGTGCAGAGGGGAAAGCTAACTGAGAAAAAGGAGCCAAGTAAAACAATAAATGACTCCCTAACTTAACCTACAACTGCAGGGTTAATGACACTGACTGTTGGAAAAGCCATGATGAACATCCAGAAGTTCCTCTTAACTTGCCGGCTAGGGAGACTGCTTAGCAGATCTCCATCTATGCATTTCACAGAGACCACATTACACACATGTGAAAGACAGCATTTAAAATACTACTCTAATTAAAGTGTGATTTTGGTTCCCACCAGCATAACACAGGGAAGCTTAAAGAAGCCAAAATATTAAGCAATCATTATTTTTCTTTTCTACATAATTCCACGGAAGATTTTCAAGTTACTGAAAGGGGGGAGGAAATACATAACTTTTCATGAGTGACTATCCCCATGAAATAATTTTAACAGAAGAGACCTTTAGAACAGTGTGGGAGAGCAGTAATAAGAGAAGTACAAGTGAGGAGTCATTCCAACTAAACTCACCGGCGTTTCTAAATTTCCTCATTACACTGCAAAGTTGTATTGACCTTTCAACAACTCATTCTATTAGATTATCCTACACAAGTCAGCCAAAGAACAGAATTTAATGTTTTTAAAGTCTAAGATGAAAAGTCTAAAAAGTAAATACTTTTACTATGAATTCCAAGCCTATTGAATAGTTTAGTGTTAATCTCCTCACGCTCTGAACACCCATGCTTGGAACTCAGCGAGAGGGAGGCAGTGACTTCAGAGGTGAGCGAATGAAGCTCCCACCCCCACCGCTGCCCAGGATGCCAAAGTGCAGTGGAGACTCTAGGCCAGACTCCAGGGACACACAGTAAGGGCTTCACTTCTGTGTGATGCAACTCTAATGCCAGTTCATAAGACGCCATGCAACAGGCCACCAGAAATCTAAGTTCTTTTGTATGCCAAGGACACCTCTATCTAGCGTGGACATGGTTTCCTTCTTAAACAAAGAATTGACTCCGCTGTGTGGACTGTGAGCACGGACTGAGAATGAGCTTTGGAAAAGTTTTAGTGTGACCCACAGAGGGGATGATCCCTAACCTTCAGGCAAGAGTCTGGTTTACTTCAAAAGATTAATCTTATCAATAGTTATTTGGCAAAGATAAAGTATTAGCTGTCCTTAGCCTTACAGCACTAAAAATGGTAACAACAACTTTAAAGAATATAAAACAACCACTTTCCAACTCCATGTCCAATGACTATCTGATTCTCATTAAACCATAATCTTCTCATAGAGGGACACTAGACACACTACACTGCCTGCCAACATGGAACTGCTCTCATCTATGAAGCAGGGATGGCTCACATGGTTCGCTCACTAGAGAAAACAACCCTTGCTTCTCGGCAGCTGTTTCCACTGCACAGTCTGTCACCTGGTGTCTACCTGGAACTGCAGTCACCATCCTGGATTGTTTACTAGCTGTGCACCCTACCCAGGTGCGGACATTGCTAAGCCATTTTTACAGAGGAAACAAACAATATCTTAAGTACTTTACTAAAATAACATTAACAATTAAGGGAGAGAAAGCCCTTTTTCTCTTCAGATACCAGAGATTACGATTGCTGAATAACAGATTCTCAGAGCACAGAATGCATTCATTAATTGCAGCAACTTCAAAAATTAAATCACAGTAACACGATCTAACTGGCCTTTAGAAATGGTCCCAAAGAACTGCAAAGACAGACAGAGCCTTCATTGTCGCTGTTTCTTATGTACTGAACACTACAGCAAAAGCTAGCGTCTACCCTACTAAGACCTTGGGTCAGGTTTGTTTTTGATTCCAGTATTGCCTTACCATAATACAAGTGCTGTCTTCATGTAAGTATTATAAAAGATGCTCTTTTTCTTTGCATATTAATGCCCCACCTACTATTGAGAGATTAGAACTGCTTCAAAAAACTAGAGAAGAAACAAAGTGGGCACCGCTGGGCTTGTGAATAAATACTCTTCCAACAGGAGATGCACAAGGAAAACAAACTATAGGCTTGGATGTTAGTTCTGAAATATCAGAAATGTGTGCCTTTTGCTAATTATTCAATTCTACACCAGTACTTTCTAAGACTATCCTCTCTCCAGCTATCGTCACGGGCGGCTAAACAAAAGAGAGTTTACTCAAGATTTTTGGCGTGAAGCTTTAACTGGCAACATTCCTGATCACTTCATGCCTTCTTAATCAAAAGCAAAGAAGGGCATCTAAATGCACATAAGACAGAAAACTGCGGGGCTCCAGGGGTCACTGAAGGCTTGGGTCAGAGGCAGGATCCTGCCCGTGGGTGACATGGACAGATGTACAGAAAACTGTGCTTTCAGGCCTGCTAAGACCACAGCTCCCTTTGGTCCAAAACGAGTCTTGGTGACAAAGTAGATTCCTCCTCAGAACCTAGGATTGGCTATCAGTGGCCAGGCCCAGAGGGTCTTGTGTCCTTCCAACTCCTCACACCGTGTCCCTTCACAAGCACAGAAACTGGCCTCATGTCAGAAGCCAGTGCCAAAGCAGTTGCCAGCTGCCAGCGTTCCTCGACCTGTCTCCCAGCTCAGCAACCCCCAGAAGAGTGAGCAGCCCCAGCCTACAGCCTCTGGAAATAATTCTGAAAAGGAACAGAGAGAAAACTGAAGACGCGAAGAAAAGGCAGTGGACTCTGGAGGATTCTGACATTGGCCACCTCCTGGGTAAAGGAAAGTTCGGAAATGTTTACTTGGCAAGGGATGCAAAGCAAGTTTATCCTGGCCCTGAAGGTGCTGTTTAAAACCCAGCTGGAGAAAGCCAGGGTGGAGCACCAGCTCGAAGAGAAGTGGAGATACAGTCCCACAGCGGCACCCCGACAGCCTCAGGCTGTGTGGATATTTCCACGATGCCAGCAGAGTTTATCTAATTCTAGAGCACACACCCCTTGGGACCATCTATAGAAAGCTCCAGAGCAGGCAAACGCTCTGCCTTACTGTCATTCAAAGAGAGTCATCCACAGAGACATTAAGCCAGAGAACCTGTTTCTTGGGCCAAATGGAGACTTTGGGTGGTCTGTGCATGCTACATCTTCCAGGAGAACCATACTGTGTGGTACCCTGGACTACCTGCCCCCCGAGATGACTGAGGGCCGGATGCACGAGGAGAAGGTGGACCTCTGGAGCCTGGGTATCCTCTGCTATGAGTTCCTAGTTGGGATGCCCCCCTTTGAGGCACAGACCTACCAGGAGACCTACAGAGGGATATCACGGATTGAATTCACATTCCCCGACTTTGTGACTGAAGGAGCCAGGTACCTCATTTCAAGACTGTTAAAGCACAATGCAAGCCAGAGGCTAACACTAGCGGAAGTCCTTGAGTACCCCTGGATCACAGCAAATTCCGGCCAAAAAAACCAAAGAGCTAACTAGCAAATCATCTGAGAGAATTCAGCGCCATGGCCCCTGCAGCTGTGAGAAATGCTCCATCAAGACCTCCCAGAGCATCATCACTGCCCCCTCATACCCTGCTAAGCAGGCAGTCCCTGGCCTTGCATCCAGGAAGCCCCACCTGAGCCCCAAGAGCCATGCTGCTTCTCCTGGTTCAGTAATCTGGAGGAAGGTTCCACTGCAGCTCTTCCCATGGCCTGTGACCCCAAAGTGTCCTTGTGGGGTCTCACCATGGGAAAGTTCTCACTCTGGCCACCTCCCCCGTAGTCACCTGTGTCGTAGCCTTCAAGTGCCTGAGTGTGTGTGTAACTTATTGGGCCGCCAGGCCTGGGAAAGCTGTTGGAATGAATATGTAGTTTTCTTTTAAATGTTAAAATAAAGGTTTGTATATAGCCTTTTCTTAAGGGGCAACCCATCAGAACACTGGTTTTCAGCCTTAAGCCTGTATGGGATTCGGATCCTCAACCACCTTAACGGAGCCTGTGCTCTACCTGCTTTGGACTCGACTCAGATGTTTCTAGATGTTATGGGCTGTTATGCTGGAGTTCTGTCAAGTACACAAACTTGTTAAATATGTAAATATATGTATAACATCTAAAAATTTGAGAAAAAACCAGAAAACTGCAAACAATAAAAAGGTGCAACCTACAGTTGCAGTCTCGACAACTAAAGAACTTTGAGCAGCGAATGCGGGGCAAACAGCCACTAACAGTCCAAGCTGACTTCTCGCGGCCAAACAGGAGCTTGATAAGGAAGCCCAGTGCTGCTCTGCTTCAGTCTTCAACTGAGACACAGTGGAGACAAAATAACTTTCTGAGGATGCACAGTTATCTAGTGATGATTCTAACGGGATGTGAGAACAGCTCACAGAAGGACACGACACTCTGGAGGTGAGGTGGCCACTCCTCATCTCAGCACAGTGCACTAACATGAACAAGCTGCGGACAGAAGGCCACAGGCCAGGAACGGGCGTGAAGCCAATCCTCCCCGTCTAGGAGAAGCTCATGGTGACACTACACAGAATTTCTTTGTGACATAATTTATAATTTAGAAGTTTCTCAATATGAAAAATGGCAAAGCTAATACCTTAAATGTTGCAATTAACATAATTTTTTTAAAAAAGAAATACATTACAAACATATTTTGCCCTCCCCAAATTCAATAAATATAAGATAGGGCATATCGTGATTTCATACAGTCATGTGACTTTCCCTCCGAAAGCTCAGGCACATGGTGTATGCACAATGCCTGCTGCTCACCATCACTCCTTTATAAGGCAGAGAGAAAAAGCCTTCAGCAGAAGGGGCTGTTAGCACTGGCACAGCATGAGGAAAACACACAGAAGGAGGAAATGCCCCAACCTTTACTTGTTAGGAAGGAAGAAATCAGGATCAAACAGTCCCTGACCCAAGAATTACTGTACCACATCATTAACAGATATGTTGTCTTGTTTTAAAAAATATACATATGTAAATTAAATTGAACTCAGATGTGAATACCCAATGGTATCCAAAGGGACAGTGAAACCTCAGCAAACAGATCAGAAAGTGAAGTTCCACCCTTCTCTGGAGGGCAAGGCAAGCAAGAAGAGACCCCACACATCACTCCATAGTCACCAACTTACCACACTAATCAACAAGATGTTCACCCTAAAACCTTGATACTTTAAAAGATTTCCAAATTTACTTCACCTTAAGTATTTAAATTATTTTAAAAGTATCTAAGGTAAGTCAAATTTATGTCTAGTTTCCATTTTCTGCTTTGAAAGAAATTTTAAAATGTGTGTCCTTCCAATATTACACATCACTTCACAACTGGTACACGGACTCTACACGTGTCCTCAACAGTTCACAAATCTCACCAAAGAATCACAACTGTAAACATGTAAAAACTAGGAGCGAATGACAGGCCAGGCAGGGCACAGATGTCGTCTTTCAAGTTTATCCAGTCTAGCCTGCTTGTTCACATCAAAACATTTTTTAATTACAACTTGCAAATGTATTCCAAGAGTGAGGGATTTTGAAACAAATACACATGGAAAAGGCAAAGTGACTGTGAGGCTCTAGACCTGAAGCCCGAGCCACGCGGGGTAGTTGTCATGACACTCCCTGTCACTGACGTGAACTCAGCCTTTCGTGGCTCCTCTCTTCATAGGCTGATCATTAGTGACAAAGGGCTGTGTTACCACCACCATGCCACTCCCCCACCCCCCATTCAGATGCTTTAGTCAACTCAGTCAGAAACGATGCTAGGTATGAGACGGAAGGAGGGAAAAAAGAGCCGTAAGCGTATCTGAGAGAAAAAGACAAAAACCAAAAAGACAAAAACGAAACAAAACAAACAAAACCATGAGAGCTACTCCCTGTGCTGCACGAAACACACGGGGTGAGGACGCGTTCGCAGGCAGTCAGGAGACAAGGCTCTTTTCAGTCAGCCACGTCACAGTTAGGAATGGCACCCAGGCCTCACTGTGGCGTTTGGCAGTTGGGGCTAAGTCAGAGTTTTGATTTGCCTCCACAACCACCTGCTACACAGGATCTCAATAGGCCACTCCATCTACAACAACCTATGTAAAAACCTGGCTAGAGAAGGGAAAGCATTGATCTCAACACTAGGAAATAGTAAAGGGCACTGGTAATCTGAGGTATCTTCCACTTCTAGGACTTGCTGAAAAAGAAATCAATCCTATCCAGTCACTGTGCTGCGCCACCAGAGAAGCCACCAGGCCGAGAGGACCCGCCAGGAGGGAGGAGCACCAGTGCAAAGGAGCACACGTGAACACTGACACAGGTCGCCGCGCGGCCACTTGCTGATTGGGGGGGGGGGGCCCGGCTAATCCCCACTCTTGTTTCTAAATCTTCTGTAGGAAAAGAGGAGAGGGGTGCAAAAGAGGAAACAGAGATAGAAAATACCAGGTCCCACCTGCCTGAAAGCACACAGACTTGCTCGCTCAGTCAGGGGTGGGGAAAGGGGGAGATGCATTATTGGTACTTGTAGCCGTGGCACCTGTTACTGTGAAGCCTGTAGGAGGGGCTATGGAGCTGTGGCTGGGCTGCAGGTCCTTAGGAATGCCACTGTGAGAACTCAGCTGGTGGCCGAAGGCTGCACTGAACTGCGGGAGCTGCTGCTTGGGAGAGGTCGAGGCCATTAGTTCAGCGGAAGGCCCCATGCCACTAAAGCTGGTCTGCGGTAACCCCGGAAGCACACTGGAACTGCTCGGGGTAACGGTGGCGAAGGCAGGCTGTGTGGTCTCTGAGTTGGACGTGGTGGGTGGCGTGGAGAGGGAGGTGGAAAGAAGGTGTCCATCCGCGCCAAGGAGGTTGCTAAATGCAGAGGGATCGCCAAGGTTAACGGGGAGATTCCCCCAGTGAGTTCTGGGGTTGACCACTCCTCCAAGTGGCACCTCAAGTTGGGTGGGGAGCAAGTGCTGTGCCATGATGGGCATCTCTGCTGAAAAGGTAGCTGCCATATTATCACCAGAGTAAGATGTGTGGGGAGAGGTGATATGGTCGCTGTAGGGCGACGGCACGTGCTCGCTGTCATAATGGCTTCCATGGGGTGAGGAGTGTGAATGATCACTGCTGTATTGCTGTCGTGAGGTGATTAGGTCATCTGCCTTGCTCAGCAGCTGGGCAGGGTGTGGCCTCTGGGAGGCATGGCTGCCATCATGAAGTCCATGAAACTGTCCTGGGAAGGCTCTCTCCCCAAGTGCACTCTGGCTGAGCAGAGTGGCAGAAGTAAGGCCAACGCTGGCTGGGGCAGAGAACTGCCCCTGGATCTGCCCTGCCAGGGGTGTGGGTGGGTCAGACAGGCTAGCAGAACGGAGGAGGTTCTCGTCCAGCTCCAGACTAGAAAAGCTATCGTGTACTATGCGTCCGTTCAGCAGCTCCCCTAGGTCCGTGTTTACTTCTCGACTCAAGGACTGGATTCCCGAAGCATCAGTACCCGCGGAGAACACCCCCATTCCTCTATCTGACAACCCCTGAACTGGCACACCGTCTGACTGGGTAAGTACCCCAATTGTACTCAGGCACTCGAGAGAAGTTACAGCTTGCAAGGCCCGCTCAAGTTCCTCAGCTTCTTCGGTGGTCGGGAGGAGGTCTCCGTTCTTTCCTGCATTAACCAAAGCCAGCAGCATCAGCAAAGCCGAGAGAAGACTCACAAAGTAAAAGTCACACGTCTGAGTATTTAACACTAATGTATCATGAAAGAGTCCTTACCAGGCTTGGTGGTGCACACCTTTAATCCTAGAACTTAGGAGGCAGAGGCCAATGGATGTCTGTGAGTTCTAGCTGAGCCATGTCTACATGACAAGTTCCTGGCCAGCTAGGGCTGCATACTGAGACTCTGTCTCAGAGAAAGAAAAAACAAAGACCTTTGTGAAAAGAAAACAAGTTTCTTTTTAGAGACAGAGTTTCTCTGTGTAGCCCTGGCTGTCCTGGAACTCTCTCTGTAGACCAGACTGGCCTTGAACTTACAGAGATCCACCTGCCTCTGTCTCCAGAGTGCTGGGACTAAAAGCCTGCTCTACCACCACCCAGAGGAAAAAAATTTCTTCTACTGGGATTAGAAAAAAAAAGAAAATACTGATGGTCTGCAGCACAGGTCTCAGATGTCAGCGTTCTTGGAATCTCAATGACCATCTTTATTTTTCTCAGAAATCTACCATAAGAAATGGTTTTTATTTATTTACTTATTTATTTTTTGGTTCGTTTTCAGACATGATTTCACTTTGTAGCCTTGGCTAGCCAAAAAACTTACCATATAAACCTGGTTGACCTCAAACTCATACAGATCTGCCTGTCTCTGCCTCCCAAGTGTGAGATTAAAGGTGTGTAGCATCAAGCCTGGCTCTGTTAAATTCTTTTGATGTTTACTTATGACTAAGTGTATCTGTGTGAACTTCTGTCACATGTGGTGGGTGCCTGTGGAGGCCAGGGTGTTGGATTCTGGGTCTGAAGTTATAAGCAATAGTAAGTTGCCCAATATAGGTGCTGTAAATTAAACTCAGGTCCTAGCTGGGTGATGGTGGTGCAAGCCTTTAATCTGAGCACTTGGGAGGCAGAGGCAGGAATATCCCTGTGAGTCTGAGGCCAGCCTGGTCTAGAGTGAGTGCCAGGACAGGCTCCAAAGTTACACAGAGAAACTCTGTCTCAAAAAACCAATAAATAGGGGAGGAAGTGGGAATTTGAATTGGTATTTTTTTAAAGTAATAAAAAAATAAAACATGGTAATCTAAAAAAAAAAAAAGAAAACCAATAAATAAATAAATAAACAAACTCATGTCCTCTGGAAGAGTACAGCTACTCTTACCATTGACACCGAGCATCCTCTCCAGCCCCTGGAACGGTGAGTGCTACCTCCCTGACCAGGCATGGTGGTGCACACCTTAATCCCAGCACTTGCTAGGTCACAGATAAACACCACCATGCCTGGCTCCAAAGACAGGTCAAGCTGCAAAAGACTTTAGTAAATTGCTATGTTGAACGGCACTGTCAAAACATTAAGGAAAAGTACTCACTTTAATGGAACAAAATTACAGTTACTGAAGTATAAATCTACTAAATATATAATATGATTAAATTAATTATGTATTTCTCACCTTCTGAAAACAACTTTAGTGATGGTATTTTCCATTTATAGTGACAGACATTTTCTGTCAGGAAAAACATTTCAGATATACTGCAAAAGGTTATTTTATTAAAAAAATTCATAATAAACTGGCCAGTAAATGGCTCTGTGGGTAAGGGTACATGCCCCACATGCCCAACAATCTGAGTCTAATCCCTGGAGATCATGGGAAAGTGGGAGAATGCTCTCCCCAGCTAGCCTCTACCCTCCACATTCATGTGCGCTGTGCAAACATACACAAACATCATGTGCTCAGCAACGATAATAATAAAAGTTATTAGTATTTCTAGGATGAATTTGGTGACACTAGGCATAATCACAGGACTCCAGAGCTGAGACAGGGGCATTGCTAATTCTAAATGGTTAAGAGCTTGTCTCAAAAGCCAAAAATAAAATAAAACTTATTTCCCTTCTTATGAACCATTTCAAAATCAATCATACCTTCAAAAAAATCAAAATCCTGTAAGTCATCGGGCAACCGTGGCAGGACATCCGCAAAGTCTTCATGGCTCAATTCTAAGTCATGCGGAATGTCACTGATCTCGTTGGCAATGTCATCCGGCAACTCATCGGCACTCAGCTCTGGCGTGGAAGGGCTACTACAAAGACAACACAGTTACACAGGCTGCCCCCACCGCCCCTCACTACACGCTCCAGGGTCCACAGACATTCAGTACAAACACGGGAGACGGAAACACCAGTGAGATGAGGATGTCTAGGAATACATGAGACTCTATCTCCAAACAAACAAATAAATAAAAATGATTTCTCCTCCCTTCAAGAGAAAATGTAAAAGCAAAACGCTGCAGAAAGAGACACCTCACCACATAGTCACAAATTCCTACAGCCTTTACCCATGAAGGTGATCACTTCAAATCACTAGCATGGATCACCATTTAGTATATCTATATTCTAGCAAAATTTCAAATCTGATCAAGATAATAACTTTAAAAATGAAATAAACGGGCAAGATTGAACTGAAATTCATCTGATCAAAATGTTTTTAGTCTGTCAAAGCTTAAAAAAGTCATATTTCTAAATTACATACATCTATTATAACGTGTATAATTTCTGTTAAAACAGAAAACCCTGAGAGTATATAGTTACAATCTCAATTTCTGCATCTATTTTCCTTGCCATAATAAAAACTGACATCAATGACAGTGTACTGCACTTAGCCAGCCACCAGTAAATCTGTCAAAGACAACTGAAGGGTAGGGAGGTGGAGGCTGGGACAGCCACACCCCTGAGGAAAGCAAACCTACTGCCCCCACTGACCGGATCTGCGAGGCCTCCACTGGCAGTGAGACGCTGGTGGGCATGCTGAGGTTCCCTTGGGGCACTGCAGGGGGAATGGGTTTCTGGGGCCGACGAGGTCCACGCCTTCTCTTCTTCTTGTGTTTTTTGGTAAGTGCAGGGGGCTTCGTTTTTTTCCTAGGTTTCCTCGGCTGCTGGTGCTGAACTCTACGGGAGCTATCTCCTCTCAAGAAGTTATCCTGTGAAATGAACACAAGATTTTTTTTTAAAAAAACCTACTCCACCCCTCACTCCTGGCACAATAGTGCACAACAAGGTGATTACGGGCTGGCAAGCCTCGTCCATCTCAAAACTAGAAGAAAGCTCAGTTTTCACCACAGAGAGGTGAGGAGCTGGGAATGTAGCTAACTGGGTACTGTGCCCACCTGGCATGTCCAGAGCCCTGAGTCAGCTCTCCAGTACCACCTAAAGCCAGATGTGGTGTAGGTCCTATTTCTACATGGTATGGTGGTCAGAATCTCAGGTCACAGTTTGCACCTGCACACAGGAGGTGGTCATCTCCCTAACAAAGGGTCAGGTTGTTGTTCTGCTCCTTCTTTGTAATTTGGAGGATGCCTGAAAAGAGATGCTAATTCAGTCTACCATGCAGAGCTGGCATACAGAGCAGGAAGATAGGGAGACATGACAAAATGGGCATAGAAAGGTGTGGTCAAAGGTGTGGACGTGACCAGAGACATTTGCCTGGTTATCTAGGAAACAGAATGCTAATGAATTTCCCCCTCAGTTTATATTTTGGTATAAAAGCTGTTTGGAGAATAAATGGAGGAATTTTCAGGATGTGAACTCAGGATTTCATGAGGGATCACTGAGAATTTCCCTCCCGATAAAGCCATGTGAGTTCTCTCCATTATTCCCACACCTCCCTCTGGTCCAGAGAAATAATTTAGGGTCCGGGCTGGCACAGGACCATGACAGTATGGTGGTGCATATCAGGAATCCAGGTACTTGGCCGGTGGTGGCTGGAGGGTCAGAAATTCAAAGTCAATACAAGACCCTGTCTCCGAAGGAAAAAGTTAAGTATTTGAAAGCTCTGTTTTATCCAGTTTAAATATTGTATAATATTGAAACATCACATTATTTCATTCATAATTTTGTGTACAAGTTAAAATAAACTTATCTAGGGTTGAAGACAAGTCTCAGTGGTTAAGGGCACTGTCTGCTCTTCTAGGACTGGAGTCCCATTCCCAACACCCACATTGTCTGTAACTCCAGTCCCAAGGGACTTGACACCCTTTTCTAGACTCTACAGACATGATTAAGCACACATGTAATCCACATACACACAGGCAAACACCATATACATGAAAATAATTATCTAAAAAAAACCAGATTATCAGGAAAATCTTAACTATCACAAACTTCTCTTAATAAATTTATATAATGCCTAAAGCTATATACAATAAAAAAGTACAAAAAATTACCTTAATTCATCTCTTTCATGCATACACATGCACACACACACACACACACACGTGCACGCACACCCATCACTACAAATAGTAGATCTTAAAAGACATGGATGGGTAAGGAAGATCATCTAGGCTAAAGGAAAGCACACAAACAAGAAAAAACTACTTGGTGAAGAAGCTTAGGGATAGAGCATACGATTCTGAATATCTGTTTTACACTTAAATATGCGCTGAGACTCTTCTCCACGCAGGAGTTATTTCTGAGAAGCTGGCCTGGCAGCAGTGGAGGGCGGTGTTCCCTCCAGAGGGCCAGCCATCTCAACAGTCAAGAAAATGAACAAGTAAAAAAGTGAGCACTCATCAAATTGAAATTCTTTTTATTTCATTATGTATTTATTTGTGTGTACATCTACACGATATATATGGACATGTTTGCGCAGGTATGTGCACATGTCAAGGTCAGAAGAGAGTAGTGGATTTCTAGGAGCTGGTTCCAGGCATCTGGGAGGTGCCCAGCTTGCTCTGTGGGTACAGAACTCCAGTCCTTGTGATTGCAAAGTTAACTGCTCTTATCCATTGAGCCTCCTGCATCCCTCAATTTGAATTAGTTTTGTTTTGCTGCTGGAAATTGAACCCAAGGCTTCAGACATGCTAAGCACATTGAGTTACACGCTCTGGTAGCTCCTTGGATATGGTGAGGTTAAGAGGAATATGAAACTAAAAGACCTCTAGAGATTCTAGTTGAGTTAACTGTTTAATGACAATTACCATTAGTTCAGTGCTTGTTCAAAACGCTTGAAATTGCAACTTGACACCGGCCTACAAATTTGTTAGGTTGCTGGGACCCACTTCCTTCACTAACTCATACAACTGAAGCTGCAAATTCAGGACATACAATTTGAGATATGACATTTCTAGAGACCCAAAGGAAAGGGCTGGAGGTGCAGACTTGAGGGATTCACAGTATAGTAAGAGTCCTTTAAGAAATGTATATGGAGGCAGTGGTGGTACACACCTTTAATCCCAGTTCTTGGGAGGAAGAGGCAGGCGAATCTCAGAGAGTTCAGGCCAACTGGGTATACAATTTAATTCCAGGACTGTCAGCAATGTTACACTGAGAAACCCCGTCTTAAACAAAACGAAATCAAACAAAAATTGGGGGCTGGAGAGAAGGATCAATGGTTAAGAATGGCTGCTCTTCTAGGGGTCCTGAGTTCAATTCCCAGCAACCACATGGCGGTTCACAATCATTCATAATGAGATCTCATGCTCTTTTTGGCCTGCAGGCATACAAGCAGGAAGAACATTGTGAAAGAAAAGAAAGAAAGAAGGGAGGGAGGGAGGGAGGGAGGGAGGGAGGAAGAGATATAGGAAACAAACAAAGAGGAACATAAGGACAAGGCTGTGTAAAGAGGCAAGGGAAGAGAACTAACTGCCAAGGAATCAGAAACTGACAATTGTGCTCTCTCTCAGCTTTCAGAGTCTTTAATTCTACCTATCATATGAAACAGGCTTGATATTTGTGTTGCCCTAGAGTTCGTTTGTTGAGTTCCTAACCCTCAATGTGATGACATCAGGAAGTAGGGCCTTTAGTCAGAGACCTCATGAAATCGGATTATTGCTCATATAAAAGTGATACAAGACAGAAGCTGGTTGGGCCCTCTGCAAACTCTATGGGGAAAAGCCAGATTTTTATCAGGTAAAAGGTGTTGCGGATTATTACTTTAGGCAAAGATGTGCTAATTTGTTTATGCTGCATTTGTTAACAATGTAAAGATGTGTTGTTTTGCCTGTCTAAGGCACCGGATTTGTCTAAAAAAAAGATGAATGACCAACAGCAAGGCAAGCGAGGGACAGGCAGGGTTGGTAGGCAGAGAGAGTAAGTAGGAGGAGGAATCTAGGCTTCAAAGAAGAGGAGGGAGAACAGGAGAGGGAGACATCTAGGGCCAGGCAGCTGCCAGACAGACATGGAGCATACAGAGTGAAAGAAAGGTTAAAAGTCCCAAGACAAAACATAGATGAAGTAAAACAGGTTAAATTAAGTTATAAGAGCTAGTGGGACAAACATTCAAAACTAACAGTAAATCCCGAGTCATGACGGGAGCTGGACGGCGGCCCACACGTGAGCCTGCTGCGCAAAGGCCCTTTCCATCAAGCCTGCTGGAGCTCAGCCTCCAGGACCCACGTGGTGGAAGAAGAACAGACCTCTGCACGCTGTCTATGTGCCCACACATGTGCACATATGCCAAGCAAAGAAAGAAATGTGAAGAAAAAGAGAGCAAGTCCCACAACCTCGAGTCTACATCTCCGTCATTTATTCTTCACACTTGGTCTTTGGAGCCCTGGTATCTGCTAGGTGTATGATGGGAGCTTGGTTGTTTATAAGGCAGCCACCCTGTAGTGCTCTGAAAGAGCCACCTGAACCAAGACACTGTATTCCAGAAGTCCTAAGATCTCTGCAACTGAGGAGTGTTTCATAATTGCTGTCAGCCATATGATGGTCACACGCAGCATTACCTACATACACATCAAACATAGTTACAGTTCATATTGCTTGAATTAAGTTATACACACTGTTGCTATAGGTTAGGTAAAAACAACACAAAAATGTGTACCAGAAAGGCACTAGGAGTAGCAGGGTAAAAATAGCAGGGCATAAAATTGATGTTAGTGAAACAAATACTCTCCTCCCACCGACCCCAAGCAGGGTTCCTCTGTGTAACAGCCCTAGCTGTTCTGGAAGTAGCTCTGTAGATCAGGCTAGCCTCAAATTCACAGAGAACTGCCTGCCTCTGCCTCTCGAGTATTGTGATTAAAGGCGTGTGCCAACACCACCCGGCTACAAATACTCATTATTGAAGAACAAATCACAAGCTTTCTTCTCAAAGCAACAACCCAGTGAGAAAGGAAAACAAAGAACAAAGTAGATTAAGTTGTATTTTAGTTTCAAAACAAATAAAGCACTGCCTTTTGCCAATAATACATCTGAGACTAGGAGGAAGGTTAAAATCTCCATCTAAGAATTCAGTAGTTCTTTATAGCTAGAAAACAAAAACTCCAACTTATCAAAAAGCATTGTATCTACAACTAGAACATTTTTTTCCTGATGATATATAAGACAGTGTTTAAACAGCTGACACCACTCCTCATCCTACAGATCCTGGAACAGCTCTGAACTAAATAGCCAAGAAGCTGCAGACAATAAAGTTCGGAGATGAACACCATTATCATCAAATCAGGGAAAAAGACAAGGAAATCAAGAATTCTGAAAGGAATATTTCATGTAAACCTATGTATAGACTCTTGTTTTCTGTTTTATTTTTGTTTTTCTGGTTTTTTCAAAATCGAGTTTTTCTGTGTAGCCCTGGCTATCATGGAACTCTCTGTAGACCAGGCTGATCTGAAAGTCACAGAAATCTACCTGCCTCTGCCTCCTGAGTGCAGGGTTAAAGGCGTGTGCCACCACTGCTCAGGGCTTGGGTATAGACTCTTAACTCACAGATTTATTTTTTTTAAATATTTATTTATTTATTATGTATACAATATTCTGTCTGTGTGTATGTCTGCAGGCCAGAAGAGGGCACCAGACCTCGTTACAGATGGTTGTGAGCCACCATGTGGTTGCCGGGAATTGAACTCAGGACCTTTGGAAGAGCCAGCAATGCTCTTAACCACCGAGCCATCTCTCCAGCCCCTCACAGATTTATTTTTAAAAATAGTGCTGAGGATATGGCAGAGTGTTTGCTGATGCTGGAGGCCCAGGGGTAACGATGTGTGCCTGTTATCTCAGCACTTAGGAGGTGCAGGATGGAAGATCAGAAATTTGTCATCCTCAGCTGCATGCCAAGATCAAGGCTAGTCTGGGATATAGAAGATACTATCTCAAACCCCACCACCAGGCAAAAGAGAAAGAAAAAAATAAAGAAAGAAGAAAAGCTCACATTAACTCCTGTTAAGTCATTAATAGAGATCCTGGTCTTGGATGTATGTGGGAATGACATCAACACAGACAGCTGGGTCCTCCTAGACTGCTGTGAAAACCTCAGGGCCTCATCAACAAGGATCTCTGGAATCATCAACCAAGGTCCACAAGAGGGTTCAGAAGCAGAGGCTTAGAGAAATGGTCTGCTTCATAATGCTCAAGCATGAGGAGCTGCGTTCAGACTGCCAGCATCCCCATACAGAGCTAGGCACAGCACCAGGCATCTATGATCCCAGCACTGGGGAGGCAGAGACGCACTCATCTCTGGAGCTGGCCAGGCAGTCAGCCAGTTAAGCTCCAGGCTCAGTATGAGATAAGGGTGAAAAGGACAGACACCCGTTATCAATCTGGCACCTACACACGCAAGTGCATACACCCATGAACAGGCATACGCATACTCAAAAGCATACAGGAAGCTGGGTGTGGCAGGTCTCACACTTGTAATCTTACTCAGGTGGCTGAGGCACAGAATACATGAGTTCTGGGTTGGTTTGAGTATAGAAATCCTGGCTCAAAAAAAAAAAAAAAACAAAAACACAGAAGAAACACACACACCACAAAAACACCCTTCATTCACATAAAGTCTGAATAAACTTAGAAAAAGTGCCCACACTTAGCCAGGCAGCAGTGGTGCATACCTTTAGAGAGGCAGAGGCAGGTGGATCTCTGAATTCAAGGCCAGCCTGGTCTGGTACAGAGTGAGTACCAGGACAGGCAGGACCATTTCACAGAAAAAAACAAAACAAAAGCCCATACTTTAAATGTATTTTAATTAACTAGGGAAACAAACTCAATATTTCTATATGAAGTTTAATACTCAAATTTCTCAAAACATGATCCTAACAAGGAACCACACACAGCAGAAGTTCTTGGTAAAGTCAATTTGCTAACAAGGGGACAGAGCAGGAAGGTGGCTTCACCGCCTAACTGGACTAGCTAATGACAAAGTCAGAACCACAAACCCACCACCCAGTCCATGGTACTGACGCACTCATGAACCTGCAGAGAACACAAGGCCCTTCCTCAGCCATGTGGTCAAGCTGGTACCCGGCACAGCACCCCGGAGCAGCTTGATGGGCGGGCACAGGTAACTCCACTTTGAGGGGCTTGTTTGCTCTAGGGTGGCACCAACCCAGAATCTTGTTCCTGACAGGCAAGTATGCAACTGCTAAGCTAACTTCACACCAAATCATTGCAAATAATTTCATAATTCAAATATTTGACTAATTCAAATGTTTTTTTCCTCCAAATTATTCTAAATTAATTAGCATTCATGATGCCAACATTAACTAAAACAATAATTAAGTTCAACAAAATTATAGAAAAGCTTGGTATTTTGCCTGATCATCCAGATCACTCCCAGAACTGCATATAAAAAAGAAAAACTGAAGGCAAAGACAGAGCTCAAAAAATTTGCTTTGTATCAGAAAATCTATCTTTACTACATTGTGGATGTGAGACATGAGGAGTATGGACTGATAGTTTTTAAAAATAATTTATTTGAGTAATTACAGAGTTAGTGTTCTTCATCTGAAGCATTGAGGGACCACCAGTGGTTTGAGTTTCTTGAATATTTGTATGGAATTTGCATATGGAATCTTCCTCTAGAAATCTTAAAACCATAATTTGGAAGGCTCCAAAACCTGTATTTTTTGTGTGTAATATATCTTCTTAGAACCTTTTGAATTAAAGACTTGGGGGGAGGCATTGAATTAGAGACTCTACTAAATATCCCCTCAAACTGTGGGGGTTTGGTTTTGTTATAAAAAGGGCCTCAAATTCAAAACACAACATTTTGAAATTTTTTGGTCAATGGCAACACAACACAGAGTAAAAAAAAAAAAAATCGCTGTTTTTATAGTACTTCCTTAATGATATCATTATACATCCCAATAGTTTTTATTTCCCAGTAGGAATAGCCATCAACAGTTTTGACAGCCCTAACTACAGAACTTAGGCAAACTCTAAACTTACCATTTTTTTGGCATGTTCTTCACACAGGGGCGTCTGGTGTGTAATGTCAAACACTGGCACAGAGCACTGCTGTCCGTCTGCAAACTTGGCAGTGCAGCTGGAGAAGAGCTGCTGAGAGCGGTTCAAGAGGATGTCTGGGGTTTGCAGTCAGGAGAAAGCACACCGAATTGTTCAACTCTTAGCATCTGAATTAAAGCTTGCTACTTTCCTTACTTGTGTTTTATTAGCAAGAATTGCACTGTCTGCAAAGTTAATGTTCCCATTCAACCACTGACAGGAAAATGATAATAATGATATCATCATTATTTATTCATTAACTGACACTTCTGAAGGAGTCTACTTAGCTAGCAGGTTCTCAGGCAAGTCTCCGTTATGGCCATTCTGAACTAATTTCTGTAACTTGAATGAACAAGATCATTTTCTTGTTAACACACTCCTAAAATCCCTGCTAAAAAGATTGTTCCGAAAGCAGCACTTAATTTTCTTAGGTATTTTATTTTATTTATGTATGAGTGTTTTGATTGAATGTTTGTATGCCAACCACACTGGAACGGATGGTTCTAAGCTACCATGTGGATTCTGGGAACTGAAATGAGGTCCTGTTGAACTACAAGGACATTCAGGGACACCATTACACATAAGTCATCCCAGTATCCAGGGGAGTGAATCAAATTTCAGGCCAGCCAGGCTTAGTTACATACTGACATGGCGGGGTTATAACCTAAGTAATGGTATCTCAAATACATAAATACAAAAGGAAGATTGCAAATTAGAGCGGTTGCTAGTATGGAATACTTTCAGCTGGGTGTGATGACACAAGACTGTGACGTCAGCACTCAGGTCAAGAAATGACCACCACAAGTTCACTGGCAATCAGGGATGGATAGCAAGACCTTGTCTGAAGAAAGCAAAAATAAGCATTTTAAATGCTATTCAGTTTTCAATAGTTAATAAAAATATTTACTGACCAAGTGAGACGACTCAGTGAGTTAAGGGACTTTCTCTGCAAGACTGACATCCTCAGTTCAATCCACAGAACACACATAAAGGTGAGAAGAAAGAAATAATGTGTTACACTGTGAGTTCAAGGGCAACTGGAGCTACAGAAACCCTGTCCATAGATGATGGATGGATGGATGGATGGATGGATGGATGGATGGATGGATGGAT